TTATGAACACGATTTTCCTGTGAGTTTTCCTTCATTAACGACCGATGAGAAAAAATTAATAATATTCTTTTGTAATTTGTTTCAGGTTTTGATTCAACATATCAAATTCCGATGGTTATCTTTGTATGTATCCATCAATCATTTGCTACTTGTCTACAAACCAGTAAAAGAATATTTTACAGATCAATCAAATCAAGAAATTCCAAAAGAATTAAAAACAAACTTCGAATCTGAGGAGACATTATGTGTCTTAACATTTTTGCATCATATCCTCTTTGAAATTCAAAAGACTAACTTCGAGTTACAAAAAGAATCTATTACAGCAATCGATTTATACCGAATCATAACACTACTTCAGTACAAACTAAGGCAACGAATGGAAACATCATTTTTCGAAATTCACTGTCGACAAATTTTAAATCGGTTGCCATCTAATATTGCCGCTAAATTACAAGCTTCATTTATTCAATTTATTATGAAATTTTTAGAGTACGTCGATAAATATTTTTCTCAAAATGCTGTATTTCTAGAGACAATTGGACATTTCGGTAATGGAATTGAAGAACTTACTTGGAATCAGATTCAGAAGTGTATTGAAGTTATAAAAATCCAAGGTTTAAATGAAGATAATCTATTTAATGAATTTACTGAATTAAAATTGACTTTCGAAGCTATCAAAAAGAAAGAAGTACCATTATTTGATCAGATTCAATTTTTTCTTTCCAATGCTGCAGAAAAAGAAACTCACAATTCATCAACAACGTCAATGCAACAAAGTGAGGTCGACGAAGAAGTTGAGGAAGAACAAACAAAATTAATTCGATCAGATCAATTATGGGCAATGTTATTTGCTGTCAATGCTACACCAACACCAAATATGAAGAAATTAATTTTGTTTTTTATATTCGATTCCCGCCAGCAATGCTTATGTTGAAGCTATTTTTTCGGAAATGAAACGTTTACTTAATGATTTTCGTAATCGAATGTCATTAGATTCAATAGCTGCTGAATTACAAATTCGTCGAAATGGCTCAATGTCATGTACTGGTATGTACAAATATTTGTTGTCCCAAAAAGAGTTGCTGACAGCAATTCGTTCTAATTATGAGTATACATTCAAAAAGCAACGTATTGAGTAAAATGTGTATCGTTTTTCATGTTATACTCTATGATATTCTAAGTTATTCTATGTTATTCGCATTACATTCTATGATACTCTAT